GGCCGCCTGATTGGACTGGTGATAGGCTAAACATTGCAAAGGCTGGGGAGCATGTACTGCGATAGATGATGCGAGACTTGCGCAACTTTGCAGCATCACGGTCACGTGTGCTATCATCAAAGTCTTTAATACATATTATAATAAAAGTGCGGGTGGAGAATTCTGCAGTATGCGATCGTGCTTCTGCGAAAAATGTATAATTGCTTTTCTTAGACAGCGATATAAGAAAATAATTAGACACAGGTGGTGCTGCTCTATAATTAGCAAATTAGGATACGAACATACGCAGCAGCCCTAGGTTGGTCTCCAAGTACGTCGAATGCAAGTATCGAACGACGAATAACTATTGAATATTGAGGGTTCCTTAACAGACTGCGTTTTACAGCAGCTGATAGCTGAAATCCTCTGCACGTGATCGGTGGCAGTGCGATGATAATGCAATACATTCTGCATCTGTAATGACCTGCAGGCGCAAAAGCAGAACAAGACGCCATCATTAGGTGAGTTTTGTAACAGATAGTAGCAGTCGCCGACTACAGAACACGACGAACAATCAAGCATTCGCTTCAGCGAATCACGGCCACTCAATTTAAGTGCGAAACGCTCTCCGTCAGTAAGCCTTTCGATACATCAATCGAATCAGTGAAAAAAGGACTCGATCAATTCTGTTTTGTTTTACCATCACGATGACAATATTGTACAACGAAATTAAAACTACCTTTTTTTTTTTAAATTGTTTATTCAGATTTTTGCTTTAACACAATTTCAGAATTTTTCTGGAGGCGTTCATCATCCATCCCCTCACAATGTAATATCCACTCTTTTACCTGGTACGATGCTCTATTTAAGCGACAAGCCTTTTAATACATTAATTGTCAGACAAGCAATATACATAAACATTTTTTACCAGCAACAGGTCCATAAGAATACCCACCTTCCTCATGCAGCTATCTCTTTTTTTAAACCTTTTAAGAATGAACGCCCTCATGCACTCACACCCTGAAACAAGCACAAGTGAATTTGGTTCATTGCAAAAAAAAACTATCGAAATTCTTCTACTAACAGCATTATAATAATTGGACTTTTTATGTGATGCAAGAGTTGGGAGTCCCGCCCTACGTAATGCGTATTTAAATTGGTACCTGGCTAGCGCACAGAAAAAGTTTATGTTTTAAGTTAAAGCGCATTTACATAATGTAGCCGTATGGGCACGCCTTAACTTCGCGTGTGGTGAGCGCGCATTCGGCCTTCAAATAAACGGATTGAGACTTTAACAGGAAGGCTAAAATATAGTCAGTGTACCGACATTTATGCTATTGCTGTAATTGACAACTCCTATCTCAGGGGAAATCGGACGCTTTACTACGAATCGAATCACAACCGCATAAATCCCAGTAGTTTACTATGACATAATCTCTGGCGTTACCTTGCAGTTTACTTACGTCTTTCGCTGAGTGTAATTTTAGGTTTTTGTGTGGCCTGGCTCTAGCTTTACGAAGATGCCGACGACATAGGTTACCATATGACACGTGTAAATTCACCTACGATACATTTACCGATCATTCCGAGCAGTACGATTGTGAGGAGGTGAATATTTATAAAGAGGGGGTGAATTTACGGCTCTAAGGTTCAAATGTGTAAAAGAAAAATATTCTTAGATGTATTTGAAATATTTTACATGTTGCTAAGTATCAAAAATACATTAATGATATCAAAGTTGAAACCAATACACAAGAAACCAAACTACCTACTGCATTCTGTCCACTCACAACAACTAGAATTTCATAATCAAATTTGCGGCATCTTGATTAAACTCATAAGATACATTGAAAACTGTATCACAGCTGCTAGAACGTTCATGGCTACAACAGCTCAGCTACGCCGCTCGACGTTGCTTAATGGTTTTAGCATCCAGAGCTGGACGCATTATCACAAGAAACATGGTGGACGGGGTCTTCTAATTTGCAAAACACTTTAAGAGATCGGTGCAGACGACGATATTTGACAATTGAGATATTCTAGACTATGTTGCGCAATGTGTGGGCAAAACCATTTTGTGAACGATCTTCGCAAGCCGCGCTGGACCAAATTTTTAAGGAAAAGATGTCCACAAGACTAATGGCGCAGCAGATGGTCGACTTGGCAGACAAAACGAGTGTACAGCACCTAATTTTTGTTTGTTTAATGCAGCAGTCGACCGACCGATACTTCCAATTGTAAAAGCTCACAATCACTGTCAGCGAGCCCCTGAAAAACAACCTTAATGAGCCCTTACAAATCTGTGGAGTCGACAAAATCGTCTCTGGATATTTTGTTGATGCTCACAAATCTGTCACACTTCACGCTTTCACAGACTGTGCGTAACACACCTCTTAACCACGATCACGACACGTGGCACATCCAGAGCAACTTGCCTCTTTTAGCGAGGTTGTTGCGGCCCGTTGTAGTGCCAGAATACTAAACAACGGTCAAATCTGATCGTACGTATCCTAATTGAATACCTTTTAATCCACGTACGATGTAATAACGTTGCCTCTTGCGCGATGACATATGTTAGTAACTTCTAAAGGAATTTGTTGTAAAAGCTAAATTTGATTAAATGGGTCGCTTTTTAAAACAAAAGTAGTACAGAAACAGCGACACCACCGGGAGCGCGACGCACCGAAGACAAATTTTGAAGGATAGGACCTCAGCCTAGTGCAGCCGCAGAACTCACACACATTAATTTTGTGCAGATCTAGAAAGCTGCTGGCGTGGGATCATGTAATTACTACCTTTACTTTATTTGGTCTTCAGGCGATGCGAAGAAAATGATGTCTTATTGATCAAAATTTGGAGGATCTTTCCAAGCCAATACCACAGTCCTCCTCAAATAAAGAATTAACTGGTAGAACAGATGACGTTAAGACGTGGCGGGAGCGAGACCCGGCACTTAAATATCGCCCGTCAAAATGATGGGCGCCGCGAAGGTACTTCTCGCCGCAATAGGAATTTTTTTTAATGAGGCAGGCCTGTTGTGCGGAAGAATGCTTCAGGCTGCGCTATTACAAGAGATGGATACATAGAGTTACGCCGAACGAACTGTTCATGATGCTGACGTTTGCAGCTTCAAAGTTGATTTGTAGAAAAGAATACAGCTGCCGCCTCACTTGGCCATTTAAAGCAATCGCTTTAAAGTCTCTCACGACAGGCTGCATCTACGCTCCGATCCCTGCAAGGAAATAAGAGTTGCACATGTTTAACATTGCAAGCAGAGTACATTTAGGTAGGATTGTATAGACGATTTAATGGCGCTCAGCCTCTGTGTGCTATATTGAATCCTCTGCGGCATGCGGAGCCACGATATGAATTTGATTTAAAAGGAAACAGAAATTGTAGTCTCAGTGTGGTGGAGTGGCGATCGCTCATTTTATGAGTCGATCCCAACTCTCCACTCGCGCCCGGACGACCGACTAACGGTGGGGTACTTCGATTCCGTGTGTGTTGCCTTCCTCACCTTGTGTACCCATCGGTAGGGCGGGTCGCACTCTTCCAGGTAGACTCGTGTCGAAGGAAAACTTGACCGTGTTGGGGATGGGGTTGTGATCGTGCGGAAATCTTCACGCGATCACGGGTTACTTGTGGGTACTGATATTAGTAACCCTGATCTCAACGAGATCGCCTTGTCCACTATGTGGTTGCTTGATCCGCGAGCCTTCTGACCACTTGAGCCGTCTCGCGATCTTGCGCCTTGCCTTTACGCATTTTGCTGCGTCCGATCGCAGTTGATGTTGCTTAAGAGTTCTTGAACACACCTGGCCAAAATAATCCAGGTGTGACACTCGCGTAGACGTGTAGCGCGACTCTTTATTCGACGGGGGCCAAAGATCTTACCCGGAAGAGATAACGTGTGCCTTATGAAGTAATTTGAACTCTGTTTAATGTTAACCAGCCAACCTAAACCCTACCCCTATGCCTATACGTATATCCTAACCCGATGCCACGCGTCGCCTTTCCAGGAAGATCGTCCCCTCGCATTTGTGTGGTCCACACCCAGTATATCAACCGTTGTATCTTCTTGTGGCCCACCCAAGATATCCCCATGATCCTGCTAGCGGATCGTGATCCTACTAGCGGACCGTGATCCTACTAGCGGATCGTGATCTTACTAGTGGATCGTGATCCTACTAGTGGATCGTGAACCTACTAGCGGATCGTGATCCTACTAGCGGATCGTGATCCTACTAGCGGATCGTGATCTTACTAGTGGATCGTGATCCTACTAGTGGATCGTGATACTACCAGTGGATCGTGATCCTACTAGTGGATCGTGAACCTACTAGCGGATCGTGAACTTACTAGCGGATCGTGATACTACCAGTGGATTGTGATCCTACTAGTGGACCGTGAACCTACTAGCGGATCGTGGTTGTACTAGCGGATCGTGACCCTACTAGCGGATCGTGATCCTGTTAGCGGATCGCAGCTGGAGATCGGACTTGCGATCCTGGGTTAGACTCGCGGTATTACAGTGAGATCGAGGGTCTTGTCTTGCCATGTCTCACGACGGATTGCGTAATCAAAACGGGTGTTACCACCCTATAGCCTCGTCCCAGGCTGGACAATCCTGTCCACTTGGGGTTTGAGTACGCTATTGCCAGCTACCCGTCCCAGCTTTTATCCACCAATCATAGCATTCTTGGCTTAAATGAAGCGTGCGACCCGAGCGATCGCCGATCCAAGTCCCAAGAGAAATTTTATTGTGACCGCTTTGCCACAACCGTCCCCATCACCTTCAGTCAACATACAGTGTAGAAATGGCTGTGCAACCTTGTGAGCTTAATCCCGTTTTACGCACTTTCGCATCCTCTGACACGATGTCCGATCCAGCCCATCTAGATCAGGTATCTCATCCTGCTTCAGGACAAGGGACCCCCGGATCGCCCTCTGTGATCCTATCTTCAGATGTCAGAATCTCAACGCCTACCAGTCTTGCGATCTTAGACGCCTCCACCGTGCCGATGACCGAGTTTGATCGCTCGGCTGTGGTGATGTCGGCCCAGATGGAGGTAGGCTCTGGTTGGTTTTTCATCGCGATCCTCTTCGATCCCCGCTCCGGACAGGACCTCCTCCGGCCAAACGTCCCAACTCTGGATCCGAGTGAGCCTATCTTGCTCTCGAGTACTCGGATCGAAGCCTCGTGTTCGGTCGATCGATCCACGTTAAACGCAGCGATTGATTCGCTTTACCTTCGCCTGAACCTCCTACAGACTGTCGTGGATCGGTACGAGAGTATGGAGGCTGCTTTGGAGCAGCGGATGATCCAGAAACGACAGCTGAGTGAGGACCTTAAGGAGCTCCGCACCTCCGCGTCCCCTTTCTTTCAGCTCTCCCAACGAAGTACGACCGCTTGCGCGTTCGCTATGAAGATGAGGTCAAGCAGTCCGAAGCGTTTCGGAAGGCGATGGCCGACCGGGTCGACCAGACCGCCTTGATCGATCATCAGAAATCTAATATTTCCGGACTGTGCGAACACGTCATGCCGCACAGAAAAAAGCCGATCGTGAGATCGCCGATATGCGCAAGCAGATGGACAAGGCGGGAGAGCGATTGGTGGCTGATTGCGACAAGTAGTCCCACGGCCTGGACAAGGCCAATAGCAAGAAGTCGAAGTACAAAAAAACCGGCCTCCGACTCCAAGAGAAGCTGCGTCGTGCACTCAAAAAAGTAGCGGGGCTCCAGGCCGACCAGGAAAGCTGTGTCGCGCGCTCAATAAAGTATCGGGGCTTCAGGCCGAATCGTACGAGGCGCAGGATTCTCTATCCGACTAATCTGCTGAGTGTGATCAATTGAGTCGCATCGTATCGAATCGTGACGTTACGTTGGACCAGATGCGAGTTCGGATCGCGGACGTGGCTTCCGAACGTGATCGCGCAATACGAGATCACACGAATCTTCGGGATCGCATGGCGTCGCTGGTGTCTGGGGAAACTTTAGCCACACCTACGAAGGTGAGATCGTCTACCCACACGCCCGTTCCCGCGAATCCTCAGCCGATGTCGAACGGTTCAGGATCGAGTCGCAAGCGATCTCGCGATCCCCTACCATCGTCAACTTTGCCGCCTTTCAAGAAAGTAACTCGATCCGCTGCGTCCAAAGCTAAGCCGTCCATAGTTTGCGATCCCAAGGGGGGAAAGATCCGCAACTGCTAAAGCCAAGCCGTCCCCATTTTGCGATCCCAAGCCTCCGTCCTATCCTAAGGGAACCCGCGATCCTAAGGGTCGTCGCGATCTCAAGAATTGCCATGATTGAGCACAGCCTGCAGCTACCCCAAAACTGGGCAAGCAGAGTCGCCGTGGTCCGGGCTTAACCTCGTCTGAGGGGGAGGATACATCGGCAGGTGGGGATGAGACTTCAGCGGCTTCATCCGGCCCGCGATCGTCCAGGCGTCGTTGAGCGTCCAACCCGGCGGCACAATCTTCGGTTGGGCCTCCTCCGGATCCGATCGTCATAGACACGCCGAGCCCTTTGCGCGATCCCCCACCTCCGGTCGATCCTATTATTTCTACCGTGACCAAGGTATCTCGCGCAGACCTTTTCGGAGAAGCTGCCAGCGACTCGGATGATGCCATCATCCTTTCCGATTCGTCTCGTGATCACGTCAATCCGATGTTATCCCTGGCGGATTATGATAGCTTGCCCCTTTCCCAGGTCTTTCGCGACCAGTGGATCCCTGTATATCGAGAACGCGTACCGCGATCGTTCACTCAGGTTTTCCTCTGGTCGGCACGCAAGGTCAGTTAGACGAGCGTCGCGGATATGGACACTGAATTTCTGTACCTCTACTTATCCCGTCCCAAAGGATAGATCTTCCCAAAGTAATGGCGCCCAAGTGTCCTCCTTCAACGTCTGAGTGGACGCCTCAGCTGGCGTATTCGGCCCAGATCGCGGCCTTATCCGCCCAAAAGCCTTGGGAGACAGCCACACGTCGGATTGCGCCGATCTCCGACCCTCGTACCGGCTGGTTCGACCAGCTCGTCTCTCTATAATTGGAGTTCGAGGATCAAAACCAACACGCTTTGTGGGAGCAGACAAACACGATCTTTCTTTCCAGTAAACAGCGGGCCAGCGATCCTGAGTCTCACCAGTTCTGGAAACAGCGATAGCAGTGTCGGTCGCGAGCTGGACCTCGGTGGAAGGCGATCCTTCGTATCATCTTGCAGGTATGATCGCAGGTCATTGTGACCTGGAAATTCTGTTGGATCCCTTCTTTCTGCACTTCCCTTTTTTTTGAAGAGGTTTCCCCTTGGTATCCTTGCCTGGGATGCAGATTGAAGGGCATCCCCAATTTGATCGCTGCTCTTCCGTTGCTGGACGCCTCTGGACCTTGGCGTTCCCAGTGTCGATCCTCTATTGCGACCACCCCGGATTATCGATCGTACGATTGCCAGTTGAATTCTCTTCTGCTTGATCGCTAGGATTTGATTCAGATAGTTCTATAATTCAATATTATCTCTCTTGATCCTTCATCTTGTTCTTCATCTTGATATCTACTTCTTTTCTTCGGCTTTTCAACCGCGACCTGTCCCTTCGATCCGCTATCGCCACTCATTTTACATATAGCCCCGATCCATCATCTCACAAAACCTCCTTGTACACATGCCCATACACCATTTCACGTCCACCTTTTAGCATGCGCCAACCGCACATCGCTTCGATTACCCGTAAATCTTCACTTTCCTCCTATTAGTACTGCATAACTTTAAACCGGTTTTGACTCGCACGGTGCGCTCAAAATCTTGCAACAACGCGCCACAGTTCAAATCCGCTTCGTCTATCCAGGTCGGATTGTCGTGTTGCTTCCATTGAACCAAAACTGTCGATGCACTCGCCCATAACGAGTTTACGTCCTGATCGTACATACAAAATTTTCTTTACTACGTATTCGTCAGCATCTAAATCGTTTTCCCAACTATCTTCCGGCAATAACGACTCATCGAAATCCACCCGATCCTCACAGTTAATAAATACCACACTGCCTGGGCGATCGGGAAACTGTACCACTGGCTTTAATTTGGAGACGTGCACTATCAGGAGCAATTGGTATGAAGTTCCTGGGTTTCTACCCGAACAGCATGTTCCCCACACAACTCCGCCACTCGAAACGGTCCAGGCCACATATGTGCTAACTTTCGAGCATAGACGTCTTTGACTTGGTCCAAGTAGGGCCAAACTTGCAATCTGCACTTAATGTCACAAACTCTTTAATATTGTCATTGTGTCTATCCACTCGATCTTGGATCGTGATCTTGAGACGTTCGTTTAACTTTGCTCTTGCCTTCTAATACTGTCGTTGGACGTTATATCGCCACCTTCTAGGGTCAGCATCGCGTGTTTTAGTGCTCCCCAACGGTAATGTTGCTTCCAGTGTCGATCTTGGATCCCATCCATGGATCAAATAGATCGGAGTGTCTCCACGGATCCGATCTTGTGCCGTATTTATAGCGAATGTCAATCTTCCTGCGTAATCATCTCAGTCTTTCTGTTCTACGTCCGTGAAGTACATCTTAATCAACAGAGTCAAAGTCTGTACCATATGCTCCGCAGTTCCGTTCGCTTGCGGTCGGTACGCCATGGTTGCACGTTGCTTTTGACCTGCGATCCGATTAAAAGCTCAAAAAAATCACACATTAATCCAGGCTCCCTGTCGTGACGTAAAACTTCACTGGCTCCAAATCTTCGAAACACACATTCTTCATTTCCTTCAGCGATCGTTTGCGCGGTCCTCGACGAAATTGCTCTAGCGATCACACATCCTGAGAAAAGATCTACCCACAGCAGCAGTTCTGTAATTTCTATAAATGACCGCGGCAATAAAGGGTAATGATCCATCGCGATCACCTGAAATGGAAGTGTAGCCTGTACGGCTTCCGGGGATCTGCCGCGGATCGCAGGTAGACCCTTCCTGGTGGTACTGTCAACGCATTCGCCAACACGACGTTGTATAGTCCGAAACAATTATCTCCAGTGAAATTTGGATCTGATCCGCTGATAAGTCCTCCCGATCCCCTGGTGAACACCCTTTAATCTTGTGTGGTGATGGTGCTTAAAATCTTGCTGCAACAATTCCGGTACAACCAGACGGACCATTCTATACGATCTTCTGATCCCTTAGCGGATCGATGCCTGGAGAACAGCAATCCGTTTTTGTCCACTTCGTAGTCTGGAGCAATCTGAGCGCACTATTTTGCATCCTCTGCGTTTAACTGTGTAAAATCGCCCACAATATATTCCTTCAGGTTGGCGATCCAGCTCTCTTACTCTTGCGCTTGTTTTATCCGCTCGATCCGCATCCGCTGCACTATTTCTTTTTGCAAAACTTTAGGTTGTTGACGCCTTCGCCGCGCGGATCGTGGGATCGCTGTCATTTTCACCACGCGATCCGTCCTTTCCGGCAGAAGCAACTCGTGCAGCCTGTTGAGTGATATCAAATCTTGCGAATTCTTGATTTAAGTTCACAATGACACCTCCGTCTTGCTGGAAAGCTGTAGTGGCTTTTCGATAGCACTTTGGTTCCACTTCCTCTTCATGTGTAGGAACTCGCGATTTGGATAAGATCGAAGTTTCTGCATTGCTTTATGACGCAATAAATGTAGCCCGGGATCTTTACAATCCACCTCTTCCCGCGTTTGCCTGATTACTAGGTTCGAGTCACCAAATATAATGACTCGTTTCCTAGTTTGGTTGTCTAGCAAATTGAGACCCAACAACATGCCACGATATTCTGCTGCATTCACCGTCAGATCTGCCGCGTATTCCGAAGCGGCTAAAATGATGGTCCATTCTGATAGCTTCCACACGATCGCACTATATGCCCCGCTTTTCCGTTTAGTCCGTGCCGATCCGTCGAAACTGATCACCAACAGGAATTTATCCGTACCTACCGTGGGAGGTAGCATAGATCACAATTGTTCAGGTTTCCTCTGTGGATCGATCGCAAATAACACATCATCTACCTCACCTCGCGGGTTATACTAGCTGCGATAGTGCATAGTATTTCATCCTCTCCATTGTTACACATCTTGACCTCCAGTGTCCAATTCGATAGCAGCGCAGCCCATCTTCCCAGTTTCCCATTGAGGCCAGAAGATTGAACTAGCCAAGCTAAAGTCGAATATCGAGTGAGCTCCCTGATCTTAAGGGATACTAGCATGGTGTAGCACACTTCCAATTTCGAAGTAGGGCTTATACTTCCTTCTCCACCATACCCTAATAAACTTCATTAGGCTTCAGTGTGCGACTCGTGAATGTAACCGGCCAGTATGCGCCTTCCTTTTATTGCAATAGAGATGCCGATACTGTTTACTTACTAGCATATACCACGATCACTGGAAGTCGATCTGGATCGAAATGTTTGAGGATCGGAGTTGTAGCGATCTTGGCCTTCAGCAAAGTGAATGCAATGGCGGCCCTCTCTTACCGAGATCGCTCATTT